TTTTCAGTAGTAATTCTCAGTTCCAGCACCTTGACATATCATTTGCAGGTTCAAAACCAGCTTCTGAAGATGTATTTATTTGCAATAGATAGTTTTTTGTTGGCCTCTTCTACATGATAATGGGGTTCCCAGAGGTGAGGATAGATTTTGGGCAAATAATTTATTTACCTACTTGCCTGTTCCCATACTATTTACCAACTGTCACAGAGGTTAGATGTTAACAGGCTTATCAAGCAAAAGGTCAGTCTCTTCTTTGTGCCAATGCCAAGGTACAGAAATCCAGGGATCCTAATGGAAATATGCACAGTTGGAACAAGAATATATCCTAACATAGCTATGTTGTATTTCGATATAATAACAATAAAATGCTTCTCCTACTGCATATATTTATAATTTTCTAACTATCTCTAATCAGTTAAAGGAGATTTTAAAGCTGTTACACTTTTAATTAAAAAAAATAGCCAAAAAATGGATATAGACTTGCTCTTTGTCTCACTGACAAAAAATTTACTGAACTTTTAGACTTTTGTAAATTCTCAAGTGAAAAGTCCAACCTCAGATATCCTAAACAAACCCTTAAGTAGAGTTCAGATCTAAAAACATATATCTGGAAACAAAGAGGAGATTTTCCTAAGAAAAACTGAATTTACTACATGTTCTTTCCTTCCCTCTTTTTCCTTTGTAAACCATTTGAAAAAAAAAAAAAGTGCTATCTGACCAAGGAGTTAAATTTGTAGAAGAATAAGAATGGTCATTCTGTACCAAACCTTAAGATATTTAGCATAAATTTTTACTTGCCTCGTTTCTCAACAAGGCCAAGTTGAAGACTTTAGGAAACCCTTCAGTTCCTCTGTGGTGTTTCCACACCTGCAAATTACATGAAAAACTACTGTACTGATTTGGTTTTAAATTATATCTGCTTAAGCTATGCATTTTTTTTAATATTTAATATTTCCATACCAATCATTCTCATTTGTCCAATTAGCAAAATACCCAAATAGCTCTCAGTACTGCCAAGCACACCACCAGGAATATATCAAGAAGCACGAATCTTAAATCTATTCATCTCATGGCACACAGATCAAGGCTTTTGATGACAGGTCACTTCATGCCTGTCTACAACTGCAAAGGTTCCAAAGTCTTCACCAGCACTCAAGTCTATAATGATGTGGGACATCTAAAAGCTTTGTTTATTTAATTTGCTAATTTTTCTGCAAGGTTATTTACAAAAAAATATTAGCTGGACAACTGAACAGCAAGATGAACACAATACAGGCAGCAGCACTCCAAACACTTAGTTCTTGGTATCCTTGTTCCTGCAGAAAAATTCTGAGAGCTGTATTCAGAAAGAGCACTTATCTGTGGGGAATTGCACTTCTAAAAAAATAAATATGTAAATAAAAATAAGCCAACTCCTTTCAACTGCTGAATGACTTAAGGTCATTAGTAATCTGTCTGATATTTTAATACCAGAATCAAATAACTTTACTTTGAGCTGTCCAATTTACATCAAGTGTAGTTGTGAAAATGAAGGCTATGTGAATTTGAGAAGTGACACTTGATGACATTATTTCTTACCTCCACATTTTTGTAAGAAGAGAATGAATGCAGATACCTTTTAGAGGTATGTGTAAAGAGACCAACCTTGCATAACCTGACAAGATGTAAAAGTACCTGGTAACTGAAAAAGCAACAGCTTCCTTTTACAGTTCATTGACAGACATAATGTGTTATAAACTCTGCAAATTCTATAGTTTACTTCAGAAATTAATTGTGTGGTGATACATAATGGCAGATAGAACCTGAAAGAAGCCATGGTGCAAAAATTCCTTCTGGTTTGTATAAGTAGAAACATATAAGTGTGCACAGACAGCACAGAGTACCATCGAGCTGTTACCTGACGTGACCTTTATCTGAAAACCTCCTACATGTCCTGCACAAAGAACTGCACGGGTCTGCAGAGGCTATTATCTGTAAATTTAGGTTTTAGAGCAATTACCCAATTCATTGTGTTCTTCAATCAAAGAGTAAAGCTACAACACAGGCAGAAACCTTGCCTAGTAATGCAACTTGTTCATACTGGATGTCACAGACAACTCCTGGAAATTTAACCCGGACATGCAAGCACTCAACTAACTCCACTAATTGAGCCTTATATTTCAGGCAGTTCTGTTACACAGAACACCTGCAGGGTTTTTCTTAGCAGTAAAAACTTGCCCTTGGCATGGTCATAATTTGTTTTTGAACTTACCACTCCATTAAGATGAATGAGTAAGTTTGCTTTCCTGTCAATAGTATTGTTTGTGTCTGCCTTGTTACAGACACTGTAAGACACCACACATTGATTTACTGGGTGAAGAAAGGCAACCTAAGAGCCTTGGAACTATACAAAACAAAGTATATATTTCTTTCTGTTTGATGAAAACAGAAAGATTAATCCCAACATAGTTATAATACCAATTGATAAAATGGGATTATATCAATTTTTTGAAAATCCCTCCTTAATCACAGGAAATAAACCAGTAAGAGTGAAGTGGAAGGGCTGTCTCTTTACCAAGTCAGATTAATAAACCTATTGCCCTTCCATCCTTTCCCCACAAACAATCAAGAAACCCAAACAAAACATTCCTTTGTAATTTATTATCAATGCTGATATGTTTCTAAATACAAAATAGAAGACCAAATATACTAGATAGTAAAACCAACTTAATATATCAATATTATAATTACTAGTGAAAACCCAACAGCAATTATTGCAAACATGTTTCCAAGAGGTGCATGATGAAAATATCACTTTATGAAAATTTAAGAGATTATATTTCCTCACAAGATTTTAAAAAATCCTCTACAGACGAGATTCCAAATGTTAGTAAATAGCATTTTAAACTTGCACATTGAAGTGCTTCAACAATGAGGCAACTTTTTTATTGTAGTATTCTGTCATTCAATTCCTGGATTTAGAGAAAGTCATCATTAAAAGGAGACTCTTCTTGCTAGAATTTTATTAATCAGGTGGGGTTGTGCACATTAAAGCACCTGTATTAATTCAGTCAGTTTTCAGTTCATCTGGGTTTTTTTGAGCTAAACTTATTGTTTGACTTGTATGGTACTACGACCATACCAAAGATAAGAGGTTGCTCCTTTTCTTTGAAGTTTTGAAGCAAGAAAGGGAAGTTGTTCAGAAGTCAGGTAACTCCCCAGTACTCTATGCAGAACTTGTTGGGGAAAGTTATGTCAGCATCAAAAACCCACTTCATCCTTGGCAGACTTTTCTCCGGGCTAAATTGTTTTGGCAACTATTTTCCCCATTTTTCATTTTCCTTTTAAAACACAAATTAGAATTTAATCCTAGAACATCAAATACTAGTTTAAAATCTAGCCTAACTTGCTAAAAATTCTTTGCCTTTGATGCATATGCCTTGAATAGATTATTTTTCAAACTGCATTCGTGTGTCTTGTCAGGCCTTGTAGTAATGTAGCAGATATGGGAATGCACTAATGTCTGTGACATAAAAGGAAAACTGTGTTGTATTACTGTGAGAGTCTGATGCCTCCTAAGCCATGGGAGAGGGCAAAATCTAATACAGCATTGATATGACTCTATCCTATACTATTATAAACTGGAATTATTCATCACATTCAGCATTGAAGATGTAAAGGAATAATAGTAACTTGGAGTGTCCCTACCATAACTCACGCTGATGGCACAGGGTATTTGTGGCCATACTATCATACTTTCCTCTTTTCTAGGTATTTTATTCTCTGTTTTCACTGTTACTCAGGTGGATAAAATGAACCCTGAAAATAGACTGTAGAACAAAAATGTGAAAATACATGAACTGTATATTTGATAGCACTCCATGGCTAAGCCCAGTTTGTTTTCTCTCACCATCATTTCCACCACAACCATTTTCAGTACTCCTTTCAGTACAGCAGGTAAAATAATTTGTGGCAGAAGCAACATTCAGTTGCTTCATTCAATACTCTTCAATTCCCACATTTCAGTCGTATCACACTGAAACCTCAAAAAAGAAAAACTGTACAAAAATAATATTAAAAGTACGTAAGACTCTCAAAATTTAGGAATAGGTGTATCCTCTATAACTTAAATAGAGAGATGTACAAAAACCAAGCAGTTAAGGAAATACTCTGTTCTACCAGGTGTTTGATAATATGTAACATGTTTCACAATCAGGTCTGGGCTTCTTCAGTCCTTCCGAATCATATTTTATATCCTCTGGGTGTGCTATGCATTTTCATTTTTACAAACAGAATGATTCCCTTCTTAATTCGGAGGCATTTTTCTTACACGCACACCTTACAACACGAATTAAAACACCGTCTTCGGCAAGTCCTGATGAGCACGCATCTCTTACAGAGATTTTAAACGGGATTTTTTTCCGGACGATCAGACCGTAGCACGCACAAATTGGGTGTTAAGGACAGTCAGACGCCTTTGGGCAGTTCTCGGACGAGCAGCGATTTCCCTTAACGCTCAGTGAGCTCTCCCAAACCCATGCTGGAGGTGCTCTGCGTTGGGCAAGGTAAAGCTTTCTAAGGTAAACCTTTCTAGGGTAAACCTTTTTAAGGTAAACCTTAAAACCACATTTCAAGTGAAAGGATGCTACCGCTCCGTCACACCGGGAGGCAACTTCGAGTGACATGCTGCTCCTCCCAAACCACGGCGGCCGGCGATGACCGGGCAGACTGTGGGGAGCTCCGGGGCGTTATCCCGCTGAGCGGGGACAGCACCTCGCCCTGGCGGGGCGGGATGGGCAGCAGAGCCCCGCTGTCCCCAAACACCCAACTTGTGCGGGGCACAGGCGACAGGGAGCGGTGGTCTCCGGGCGGCACCGTGTCCCGCATCCCTGTGCCCCCATCAGGGGCCGGGAGAGGATGGGCACCGAGCAGAGGGGGATCCACTTCCTCCATCCCCGCACCCCACCGCAAAGTTGCGGGGATCCCGGACCCGCACTCTCCCCTCGGCCGTCCTCACTTACCGTGGTTGCTGGCGACGTGCCCGGCGGCGGCGGGGCGCGCTGTCACCAGGGGGAGGAAGAGGCCGACTCTCCAGAGCAATAATCCCTTCATCTCACAACACCCCATGGCTGGTGCTCCCCGCGCCCTCGGCCCGCGGGGGCTGCCCGTCCTCCTTCAGGCCGGCGCGGGGGGACGCGGGATGCGCTGCCCGCACTGCCCGCGATGCCACCGGGGGCTGCCCGGGCCGGGGCGGGAGCATCCACCGGCGGGGTCCCGGAGCACGGCAGCCGCCCTGGGAACCGGGAGAGCTCCGGCAACTTCGAGGCGGTGGCGGCGAGGACTCGGGGGTCGCGCCCCGCTCCCTCCCGCGGTTCTGCCCGGTGGCACCTTCAGCCCCGCAGGAGCGCCCCTGGCAGCCTCAGCAGCCTCGTCGGCGGGAGCAGCCTCCTCCCCCGGCCGCGCCGCACGGTGCCCCGCATCCCCGGCCGGAGGCAGCGCCGAGGGGCTTCAGCTTCTCAGGCTTGGAGTGCCTCGCCCCCGCCCCGCCGAGCTCCCGGGGCAGGAGGGCGAGAAGTGCCGGCGAACCTCCTTCACTCTCCCGAACGCATCAAGCAAAACTTGCAGGGCGGCATCGCCGAAACCTTCTCCCGCCGCCGTCCCCCCCGTCTCCGCCACTCGCCCCTCTCTCTCAGTGTGTGTGTCTCTCCCCGCTCCTGCCGCGGAGCAATCAGAAACCGGGCGGCTCTGGTGTGATGTTCGCTGCTCCCTCCTGATTTGCGTGCCGCAGTTTTTTGGTGCCGCCGCTCCGCTGCCGCCCGCGGGAGCGCTCTCGTCGTCTTCCCCTCCTCTCCTCCTCCTCCTCCGGCGCGGCCGCGGGGCCGCCCCGCTGCGCCCAGCGCGGCGAGGGCCGGGTCCGCCGGGAGCCAGCGCGGCCCCGCGCCGGGGGCGCTCCGGCACCGAGCCCCGCCAGCCAGCTGGGGCAGCGGGAGAGAGGGAGGGATGGAGGGAGGGATGGAGAGCGAAGGAGTGGCCGCCCCTCCTCGCCCGCCCTCCAGCCCGAGGGGAGCGCGGGGCGTGAGGCGGGCGAGGGAAGCGCCCCCTCGCCTCGCCCGGTGCCGGCGGCCCGCGGGGCGAGTGCGGCGGGCTCGGCGCTAGAGGGGGTTAGTCGACAAGGCAAGGGAAAAATCGCATCCCGAGGGGTGCGCTCCGATCGGGAAGGGCCGCGGTTTTTGGGGGGTGCGGGCCTTTAAACGCGTCTCCTCCGTCTCGCAGGAGAGGGGGGCCCGCCCCGGCGGCCACTGGGTTGCCGCTGGCATCGCTTCTTAAAGTTACGCCAAGGGGATACAAAAGACAAGCAGGAGTGAGGCGGTCCTGGCATCCCCGCAACATTTACTCTTTTTTCTTCTCTCTTTTTTTTTTTTTTTTTTTTTTTTTTTATTAATTCCTTCGCCAGATACCGGGAGCGTGGGTAAGGATAGGGAAGCCGCCTCCTCGGGGCCGTGGGTGTGGTGTGTGAGCTGGTAACATCTGCCGCCCTCTGCCACCCCACCCCCTGCCAGGTGTCGCACCTGTGGAAGTGCCGCGCTCACAGCACACCCCAGCCACGGCCCTCTTCGGTTTTGTTGTTGTTGTTGTTTTTCTTTAATCCATCGAACATTTCAATTTTTTGATTTCTAAAAAGACAGAGAGAAAAACCCCATACTCATATCAGTATTTCTCAATGTGAATTCCTCAAATCAGGTGTCTAAATCCACACGTAGGAGAAAAAAAAAAAAAATAAGCTGATTGCCATGGCTTCTCAGGGTTCAAAAATCCCATTGAAGTCAATGGGTAGTGCAGCTACAAGATTCCGAACCAGAGAACACCAGAGTTCCCGCTGAGGTGCCTAAATGGATGTTCAGAAAGGCTTTGTATGAAAACACCTACTTTGTAATGTGAGAATAAAGACTGTTTTAAAAATTATTAATTTAAGGATTATTTCCAAAGGAGTTGTTCAACAAGCAAAGCAAACACAGAAGTAAGTATTTGCGGGTATTTAGAAGGATCTTTTCAGATTACAGAGAGCCTACAACATTGCAATATTTCCCTTTTTTGGCTGTATTAACATCTTACAAGGAAAGCTTATCCAAAAAAAAAGTCATAAGGAAAAGCTTCAGGGTATGTTTCAAAATACTGAAATAGTGAGTAGTATTTTGCCTTAAGTTCCAGGGGAAACAAAAAGAGAACCCAAATTACTCTGATTCCATGAGTCTCAATACTGCTCTGTTTTGGAATTAACACAGTGAAAAAGAAAGAAGTGCTAATTGCAAGGTTAGATTTTTGGGGTAATGGGTGAGAATTCAGACTTGAATTCTTCTCCAACTCTTGGTTCAGTAGTGAGATGCTTCCTAACCTGCCTGACATGAAATACTAGTGCAGGACATCATAGATAAAGGTCCCACAGGTTAAGATGACACATCAAGTGGCCACACTGCACCTTATACATCCTTAGTTACCATTAACAAAACCCAATCCCTTCCTCAAGGAGCTTAGAAGGTCTGACTTAACACTTCTGTTGCTTTTACATGTCCTGTCAGACTAGAGCTGAATACAAAGAGGAGGCAGTGAGAGATGTGACAGGAGTACAGACAAAATCTGTGTTTCCTCCCACATGCAAAGTACAGCTTTGCCTCCTGCTCTCCTTGGACTCCACGACCCACAGGAAACTGTGAGGGAACCAAACTGCTAAAAAGGATGGGTGACATTCCATCTGAAGTGTCCCTTCACCAGCTTTTAATTGGCTGCAGAATTTCCCGGGGAACAACTTTGAAAAAACAGTGCTCGTTCATCTACACGCAGATTAAATTTTTATAAGCTTGTGTATTACAGTGAACTCCAAATAAAATCTTAACCACCGTGCTTAAATTTTTCAGCAAACATGCTCAACATAATAGAGGATGGCAAAAATATTAAATATAAAAAGTAGAGTCCTATTTGTATACTCACTTTCCCCCTCCCCGAAATATAAAGCCACTTAGTATAGTAAACACTGAATTAATAAATTTTGAAAGGGATAATTGCACCAGGTCAGATAAAGAAAAGGAGCCACAGTTTGAGTACCTTCATACTCAGTTTTCTAGAGAGAGTGTTTTTGGAGAAGTAAGGAATTCTTTTTATTCCCATTCTTAAAACAATTCACAATGTGATCCTCCCTGTGAACAGAAAAACATCTATTCTGCTTTTATTGTTGTTTTCTTAAATAAAGGGATCATCTTTCTGTTAATAAAAAACAAACAAGAAAGGAAATATAGCATAGAAATAGAATTACACAAAATAGGTTGTCCTTTCTTCTTTGTGTAGTTACCTATACATGATTTATCTTTAATGTATCATGATAGTGTTAATTATAGTAAAACTGTGACTTCCTTTAAAAGAAAAAGAAAAGCCATTACTTTTTCATTAACATGTTAGTTTTTTGAACCATCATTCACTACTGTATGTTGTTTAATGTGATCAAAGCAAACACTTTAATTAAGACACTGACCAAGAATAGATTTGCAATAAACTTAAAACACCTTTTCCTGCAGCACTCAGGATTCACAAATCTTAAAAATACTGTAATGTTTGGAGCAAGACACCTGCATTTTTTAGGAGGGTAACACTCACATACTGACCTTAACTACAACATGTATACTAAGAAAACCACAATGTATTATTGATCTCCTAAAGTCTGAGGCAATAGCTTTTTTAGTGAATAGAATACACTGCTGATTTGGCAGCATAACCAGAAATGAACCTTCTAATAATATCTCTCTTATTCAGGATTATAAATTACATCTTTCCCATAAAATCAAAAATTAGTTCCACTTTGTTATACATTATATTCTTGTTTCTGTAGAATTGTACACCTTTTTTTTTTTTTTGAATGAACAGGCCTTTTAGTTTACCAACATCTTTAATTTTTAGTGTATTTAATGACAGGCTGATGTTAGATCACTACTGATACTACTTCTTACCATAGTCCCCAAACATGCTTATGGCATGTACAGCAATTCACATGAAGTTTTTTAAGTATTTGCAGATTTTGAAAATTTTCTGTGTTTAAAACCACCACTGCTCCACACACATAAGGGGGGGGGGAAGTACTTTTATGAGGTCTCAGGCTTATCACCTTTTCTATTATGAATACAGGGAAAAGATAACAAAAGATAATAATCATAAAGAAAACTGCATATTCAAACAAATCTTCTAGAAAGACAAGAGTACTAACAGCAGGCTCAATAGGTAATTGAATTCTGACATTAAAAATATTATTGGAATTACGGAACTAACTTCAACACTTCAGTCAGGAATTCACTGTCCTGCAGAACCCTTTGTTATAGGCAATGATTCCACTTTGGTATAGACCATGATTCCTACACTTTCAGGATCCAGGAAAGTCATTTGCCAAGTCTTTACTGTTAATTATGAAAGTTTTGTCACTAGATTATATTTTTCTTTTCGGTTGGGTTGTGTATGGTAGGGACCTATTCCGACCTATTACTGAGCATGCTAATTCTAATCTTCTGCACTATGAAAGAAGGTGCAAGTTAATTAAGCAAAAATGAACCTAAGCAATGTTTTAGGGAAATTACTGATGGGTTTCATCCCCATCCTGTTACACGCAAAAACTTTTTTGCTTTAATTTTTTCACTAAAGTACAGAATCATGGTTAGAAGATTATAATGAGGTACAAGATTTTAAAATGTTAGTATTTTTCAAGTTTACACATTGATGTTACAGAAGAGCCCATATGCCAAATCTTTCTTAATTTCCAGTATTTTCTTTTACCTTTCCATATTAATTTATAAAATAAATAAAATATCCAAATTTTGAAGTGGTGATACTGGAAAGTTAGTTACTGTGTTTTTTCACTTGCAGTTTCTTCAAATAAATTGAATTATTTGGATTAATAGGCAAAGTAGAAGATACAGCCTAAGATGTTTATGTTTTGCAAGAAGGTTTAATAGCAATAGAATTGTCCCGGAAATCTTTCAAGAATAACAAATTGGTTGGCAGTGAATATTCTCAATATTTAAATTTAGTGAGTGTAGTCTTGCTGCAGAGGAGCAAAGGGATTCCAGATAAAAACAGCAGAATTAATTAAATCACAGATCCTAGAGGAGAGGAGTGGAACATCTAGACCACAAAAAAATAAATATTGTGGCCTCACTGGCAATGAAGGAGTCAAACTTTTCCTCATAGTGTTGTCAGAGAGGTGAGTGTGAATGTGATTTAGGAGAGTATCTGAATTAAAATGCAAGAGAGAGCAGAATTACACACTAATCATACTTTGGAGTCCAAGACAAGTAAGCTTTTATATGAGCGTTTTATCCATTTCGGTAAATTAAATAATTCCAGCTGAATTAATTACAAATTGAGTTGAGTCTTAACGTGATAAAATAATTTCATTCCCAAACAAAATGCTTTGAAAAAAAGAGGCAAAAGCCTTGTAGTTGCTAGAGAGTGAACCAAATTCTGCTCACAGTACCCAAATAGTCCTTGTGGCATAACTGTGAGGGATGAAGTGGGGCCATTTATCAAGGCTGTGTCTAAACTGTTTATCTCCTGCAAGTTAGAAGACTTCCACCCTTAATAGCACATAAATCTTCTTAGGTTCTTTTCTGAGAATATGTAGAACCAATTAATGATTGTAGGAGGATATTTCTTTAGCAATTAGAACCAATAGTAAATATAACCATAACAATGTAAAATGGCAATGCTATAAACATTCTGGGTTACATTAAAAAGATTACATGCCCAGTTTTAATGACCTACATTCAAATTGCCATTGAAATGTTATTGCTGAAACTTTAAAAAATCCATATTTACAACTTTAAAAGATACTTAATTTAAAATTTAG